GAAAATACTCTTACGATCTCAGTTCGAATCTGAGCCGTTCCATTTTTCTGAGAACTTTTCATTTTTGATCCAGTCCATACCTGTGATCACCAGAACTTACAAAGATGTCATGTGGACACAAAAGTCTCGTCGTTGATATGGGACGGTAGCATAACGGTAAATGCAATAGCATACTTTCATTTCACTGAAAATACTCTTACGATCTCAGTTCGAATCTGAGCCGTTCCATTTTCCTCGACAGTCGTGGTTTTTTGAATCTCTGGCCCTATGATCAAGCCTGATCGCAATACGATTGCGGCTTCGAACTCGTGGAAGGCGTAGAGAGATGCTGAGCCAACTTATGAGGACGTATTACAGAGGGTACAGTAAAAGTCTTGTCCGATACATTGATATGGAATGGTGGCGCAATGGTAATGCAACACGTCTTTGTTCTCCGGGCCTAAGGCCTGAAGCTGAAGTATGGGGGCCACCGGGGCCTCTCACTTCGAATCTGGGCCGTTCCATTAAGGAATGATGTTGGTTGAGCTTTGGACTCTCGATGAACAAAGTCGCATATAGTATCTAGCTCACCGGCACCTTTTGATCTTACCCAGTATCAACTCGTCAGATCTAGAGTAGAAAAAAAGTGGCAAGGATCTCCCATTGCCAGCCAAAGGTCTGTAATACAACCCACAATGCATAGTAGTAATGTATATGCGTACAATACCGAGATTATTTCATCAACTAGTACTTGTACAAAGAAAGGCGATTCCAACCGATACAATTTCTCCAATCTTGATTCGTACTTCGAACTCACAAAGGTTTAGCTTCGATCAATTTTCTCTCAAGGCCTTTTCGTCGCCTTCCAACCTCCAATGCCAACACCGAAGCTCCCAAATGCACCACCAGCACCAGCGTTGGCAGCACCAGGACCGGCACTAGCAGGACTGGACGCGTCATTAGCTCCGCCAGTAAAGGCAGCGAAGGGACGCGGGTTTGTAGCTTGAGGTGTTGGGAACCCAGCACGGAAGGACGTGTTTGGCATTGAGGAGATTGATAGGAATTTGTTTGGAAGTGGGCGATCTTCCGTATTATACTGTCAAATAGGTACCATGTTAGCCAGAATCAGAGGGAAGAAACGTAAAGACGAACCTGGAACTCCAAACCAATCCCATCGGCCTCCGAAACGTCCAACGTCTTGACCAACTTCTTCCCAATACCATTCAACTTCTCAACATCCTCTTTACTCCTCGTCCACAACTGGATCCTATCCACTTTACTCCTCAAACTAACCACCGCACCACAAATCTCATCTCCCTCTTCCAAATCCTCACCCACCAACGCCATCGCTAAAAAACTCCAACACCTATCCAACAAAATTGGATTATTCTTCATCGTCAACACCCACTTCCCTCCGTTCGCATTCGCTTCATCTTCCCACATCGGTTTAATACCAGTTTTGAATAAGTGGTAGTTGGAGTTGCGGTCGAGTTTGGAAGGCGGTTTGAGCCAGTTGAGGTATCGACAAAATTCTTCGACAGTGCTGAATTCACCGATGACGGTTAACCCGGCTTCGTAATCCGTAGATTCGGGTGGATGACTGTTGAATGAACCATCTGGAGCAGCGGATCCTGGTTGAGATACAACACCAGGTCCGGGCGTGTAAGGGAATTTCGCTTTGGTATCGTGATAGATAGTCCTACAACGCGGGAAGTAGCAGAGTGAGACAATAGCATAGACGAAGACAAAAGGCAAAGGCGAGATGGAAAGAGTACATACCAAGCATACTGTAAAGGATGTTCAGGAGCCTTCATTTGTACACCCGGTGTCTTTGGATCCTCAATCATCGGGGGTTCAGGAGGCTTCGCCGTACCATCAATACTAAGCGCCCTCGTCTTCACCAACCTCGCCGTGATAGCGTCCAAGCTAGGTATATTCTTATACCCAACCTTCTTCTGCCTCTCTGGTGGGTGTGTCGGAGCATTCGAACTCGTGGCGCTACCCGGCAGTCCATTCACAGCTGCAGGCGACGTCGCTCCACCACCGCTACCCTCCAAATTCAACTTCTCCAACTTTTCAGCCGTCAATGCTTCCCCGCCATCGATATTCGCAGTCGCACCATCCGCCGAATCATTCGAAGGTGTCCCAGTCGTACTATTCGCAGTCGTAGGTGTAGAACCAGGCGAAGCGGCTCGCGTGGTCGACGGATTCACAGCTAGCGAATCCGCAGAAGAAGCCACCGTCGACGTAGATCCAGAAGATCCTGTACGTAAAGCAAACGCCGCAAGTCTAGGTCTTGCAGAGGAACTGCTACTGGTGACCGAAGCGTTTGCATCAGCCTTGTTGCCTATCCTTGCCGCGAGTTGATTAAGTGAGGGAAGGCGGCCTGCGCCAGCTGATTTTACTGGTTGTGTGGGCGTTGCTGTTATTGTTGGTGGTGGGGTTGGCTCATTCGAAGGCGGAGGAGCTGTGGAAGCCATGACGAGTGATGCTGGCAAGTGGTGGTCACTGGCAAGGAGGGAAGAGTGACAACTGGCCCAAGCGCGCTCAGAAGGCCGCCAAACACGGCTCTTTTGTCCGTTCTCCATCTCCAAAATAACTCCACATCATGTGTCAAAAGCATCACAACCATCTTGCATAGACCGATCATGACGAGTACAATAATTTACTGTCCAGCGGAAAGTTTCCAAAATAGCTGGACATCACACTTTCACAGGTTTTTTGATCTGGCGGACGCCGATCGTTGCTCGGTAAGATAAAAGAAACTGGGCGAGATAAGCCGGATAAAATAATCAGAATATTATCGCTGATGGGACGGCCCAGAATCGAACTGAGATGGTGGACACAATCTATGTAATGCATTACCATTATGCTACTGTCCTTGCATTATGCACACCTCAAGCTCGGAGTAAAGAAGAAAATAAAACCAGTTTTGCCCGGCAAAAGGTATGGAACGGCTCAGATTCGAACTGAGATCGATAGTGTGAATTCATTCCAAGAATTGTATGCTGTGTGCATTAACCGTTATGCTACCGTCCCCGTGTTAAGTCTTTTCATAATTGTTAGGCATATACAGCGAGTTGGCAGCTGTTGCCACCTGCATGGTACTTAAAACAGAACTTTCAATGGCAATTGTAATCCGCTACGAGATAGTCAATTTCAAATTGGTTTGACAAAAAAAATAGATTTGATCAAAGTTTTGAGGGAACGGCTCAGATTCGAACTGAGATCGATAGGTATTCTTAAAAGGAATATGCTATGCAGCATGCATTAACCGTTAGGCTACCGTCCCATTTGCAGTAATCGACAGGTTGTGCCTTTGTGCACCATCTTCCTCCCAATCCCTGCAAGTAGATCCAATACACGGCAGTGCTATGCACGAATCAGAATCGCGGTACCGTGCATCCACAGTCTCTGATAAGAAAGCTCGACCGAAGTGGGAGCTAATTTCTTTTCACAATGCGCCCGTGGTATTGGTGCTATGATGTTCCTTCACAGCATAAGGGCCGAAGTACATTCCACCGGTATCATGTATGGGCGCGTATCAGACCTAGAGGCTCCATGGAGTGAAGAATAGCCTGAATGATGAATCTCCAATCCTGAGGTCCATGACAGACGAGTTGAAGAAAAAAGACTTTACCATCATACATCAAGGAAGAGATCGGTGAGTATTCTTAGCAAGTGATCAACGAATTACTGTCCTATACTTTCACAATGTTTACAATTACACTGAACCAGGAGCCAACTCCTTTTTCCATTGCTCACGCGATTTCGACGCATGTTCCTGCACGGCATTAGCAGCTGCAAGGGCATACGTTCCGTCGTCATCATCTAGGGGAGCGGATTAGACAGCTGCTGCATGAAACGAAGTGAGAAGAATCAACCCACAGTATTTGAGCGAAGCTTGAATTTCCAGAGGATTATCAAGGTCGGGTTCCAACAGCAATCCGTAAATTTGCGCTAGCGCTTCCTTGAGCGTCAAATCTGAGGACCAAAGACGACCGAGTTCCGCAACGCAAACCTGTCAAAGAAGTGGTCAGAACGGATGAGTCGCAAATACCAAACTAGAGAACGCTTACTTTTCCTTGTTTCGAAACCTAAAACACGAGACCACGTCAAAAGTGTACCACGACGGAGGAAAATATTCGACCCACGTTGGGATGCAAGATGAACGTCACAAAACGGAATTCGGGAGGGTCTCTTGGATATCCAGCTGGTAGGTCACACGTCAACAAGAAAGCGCCACCCTTGTACGGACACTCCGCGATATCGTCTGGAGCCTAAAACTCTCGTGAGTTTCTGCCCAACACGGAGATGCACATTAGTAACCTCCATAACGATCTTGAAGAACGAAATATCCCTATCATTGACATAAACATCAATATGAGGGTGCGGGTCCGACACCAATCTTTGAATCTTTGAAAGGGTTGAGTGGTCAGTAACAGCGTCGACGAGAACCCCACAAACAACATACCTCTCGCATAATCCTCTTGATCCTCTCATCCCCAGTAAGTGGCAAAGTCAGTTTCTTCGAGGCAGCCGACACGCTCTCCTTCAATCTTGGATGTTCCGCCCTCTGAGGGAACTTGTCCACCGTAACAACATCCACAGGGTACTTTGACACAGCTGCATAGTCCCTTAGACCACGCATGGACCAGATAGTCGGCATGACCGATCTCTTGGGGCGTTCAGCGGAGTTCAACATGGTTTCAAGGTCCTAGACGCCACACCATCAGCCCACGTCTATGATAAGAATGACGAGGGTTCGGAAAACTTACGAAGATACTCAATGCATCTCCCAATGACGTCTTTGGGAAAAACCTATAACCCCCCGTCGCCACCGAGATAGCGTGTAAGATCCCATTGTGACTGGTCCCCACTTGAACCGAATCCACCACAATCTTCTGTTTTTGCAATGATTCGCAAACACTCGAAGCACTAGCCTTCGAACAGGTGTCGTCTCCATCCGAGACAATGATGATCCGCCTTCGCAGACCGGGTATGTCAGTGCGATAATTGACTAGGACGCTCTTGGCGACTTCGAGCGCGTCGTACACGGCTGTATCACCAGCAGCGTCAACGGTTTCTAACTCTCGTCTGAAGTTCTCGAATATGGGAGTTAGTTGTTGTTTGACTTGGGCGTTGTTCGAAACTACAAAGGAGAGGGGGGTTAGAGTTAGAACACCCGCAAGCAGAAAAACGTACATGTAACCAATCCTAAAACGAGGGCGACCGACGTATCAAACGAGCTCTAAGACTTTGATCAACGTTTCTTCATAGTGTACAGAAGAAACAGGACATACCGCACGATTGATAAACACATTAAACAACTCCGACATCAAATGCAGCCTCGACAGATGTCGACTCCTCTGCCGCGTTTCAATCGCACCCTCCATTAGATAAAACCAAGGGCTACACTCGATTTCCACCGCTTCCGATGCATACCTATAAGCAGCGAGGGTATTCTCATTGTACCACAGGGAACCTCGTCGAACTCCATCCCCACTGGCTTTCAGACCGTGCCTACGAAAACGTATGAGGCACATAGAAACTGGTGTCGAAAGGGAGGATCATGGGCAACGTACCATATCATCAACTTTGAGAAGTCTGCAACACCGTTGAGATAGCTTATCACTGCAAGAACAGGTGCGTCCGCCGGTAAAAGCAGAATTCTTGTGGACGACTTAAACGTCTCAAACTCAACCTTGAATTCGATGAGCTTCCTTTGATGCGGAAAAGTTCTACAAATCTCGATCTCGCCACCGCTGGCCAGATCAGTTACGCCAATTGTCGTCGTCGTCGAATCACTGATAGTAACTTTCGTGGAAGCCAGACGTATGGTGAACATTGTGTATTTGGCACGAGTCGCTCGATGGACGAGCATATAGAGTTTGCGAATGGGTGTATTGATCGAAAGGCTCCAAGTCCTGGATTTGCCTTCATGAGTGAAAACGATGTCCACGACTTCAAGGCGACTTGTCCGGCGGGAAAAGAAAGAGTTTGTTGGGAGGATATCAACACCGCTGACCTGGAGGGATAACATTCAGTGTTAATCGCATCGAAGCACAAAAGTGGCGTACCCATCGATTAACGGCCTCTTGAATCCGCTTCGCCGATGAAGCGACAGCAGGCACAAAGTAGCCTACGGGCCATGTGTCTTGCGACTCGAACCAAGCCCGTGAATCTTCATCCACGAATAAGTTAGTCGGACTTCCTGTCGGACGAACTGGGTTTGTGAACAGATTTCCGGTCCTGTGCCAACAATTCAGAACGAAGGGGACAAAAAAGAACAACAATGGCTTACTTGGGGTCAAGCAGGTTCCTTGGGACTTGGTACGGCTCATGTCCGGACGTCTCTTGTGGCTTATTCACCAAGGCGACCAAGAAAGTTGAAAGCTCTTCCGGATGTTCAACTATTGTATGCGACAAGCACGCCAGCTACGACAATGCTATCGTTAAGGCGAGAAATCATGGAAACAACAAGATAGCCTACTTGGGATGGCTTATCTGAGGATCCGTAGGAATGATAAGGATTTTCCTCCAACAGCGAGCTGAGTCGGAGAACATCCCTTGTGGCAATCTTCTGCAACTCTTTGAGGAGGGTGCGAGCTGCCCGAAGGTCCGTCCCAAGAGATTGACTGTTAATATATAGTTTCCAAGCGTGATGGCAAGCAGGGTGAAGTTCTTCTAGATACTTCTTCGCTACATTATGGATGAGTGCCACATGAACCAAGACCCGCGAAAAGAAGGACCATACCTTTTACCATGATCTCAGGGCTCGACACTTTGGACGTGAGTTCAGCAACTGCTTTCGCAGCTTCAACATCAACATCAAACTCCTCGCGTTCGCTAGCACTGGGATCCGATTTGCTAACTCCTGATTTCTTGTTCATTGATTCGCTAAGATCGAGACAAATCACAACGGCCTGGCACAACGTGAGCTTCAAACGAAGTCTAGTGAAGCAACATACCTCAGCTGGTGGTCTTGAAATTGCAGATACGCCAGAGTAACTGTCAACCTCCCAGGTGCCTTCAGCTTTTCTTGTTTCTGTGACGCTCTCCAAAGCGTGGCCAACGTCATTGACGTCCACCTCCGTATCGCCTCCACGTCTACATGAATGTGAAGCATATTTCTTTTGACGAAAAGGCAGGAACTCACGCAGGGCGGAAAAAGTTAACATCCTTCTCAGCACCACATCCTCTTCCCGTAAAAACGGCGAGGAAGCCCTACAGGAACAGTTTGGGTCGTCAGCACCATCGTACCAGCGTAACATACGAAGAAACCCACATCAGAATCCAACACAATCTGCGGTGGAACCACGCTGGTCGACTTCAAGTCCAACGGACCCCTCGAAACTAAGTCCGTCTCGTTCGCACTCTTAATCACCAGATTGATGTTCCTCCCCAGACTCTTCAAGTCCGAGTGCACTGATGTCGGTGGGGCACCAAGTTTGTCCAACTTGAGTGCTGAGACACCGGGTCGATCAAGTTGTCGCGAATGAGCGAGAATTTGGCAAACGAAATCGACGGATTCCACCATGATAAAATCATTATCGGAGGTGTTGGGACGGAACAGTTCCCCGCCGGTCATGTAGATATTTGCGGTACTCGTTTCAACCATCGTAGTACCCGACATGAGCATAGGCTCGACCAGTCTTTTCTCCGAAAGGCCACAGCGGAGCAGAATTTCTTCAAGTGGTCGTTCCGCAGTTTCAGTTGACGACGCAGCAGCTGATGATATGATATGTCCCAATAAGATGCGAGACTGAACAAAGATGAGTATATGCTACGTATGGGAGAAAAGAAGGACGAACCGTTTCGAGAGTCCTATCAGGAGCTTTGGTAATTGCAGATGGCCCATTAGCCGCAATATCCTTCACGGTGTGGAAGATTGACTCCGAAAGGGCCGCTTTCTCCCAAGCTTCGAGGTTTTTATTCAACAACAAAACACCCACTATCCCGATTCAAGTCAGCATGTTATAGACAAAAAGAAATGAGGACGACGTACGGGCTCGAACCGCAGGTGGGAAACGCGTAAGTGCATATATCGTTGAAAGGACCTTCTGTTCCGCAACTATACCTCGCTTGCTCACAGAGTGGGCAAGGACATACAACGACGACAAAAGAGCGGACATTCCGCGGGAAGACTGACTTATACTAGGTTGCCACGCAGACGTCGACAGGTATGTCGACTCCTTGGTGCCTAGCAGGCCCGAGATGTTTGACTTGTCGTCTTTATTAGTGTTGCGTTTCACCGCATATAGCGTGATGGAGACTGAACCATCTGGAGGG